GGTTTCAGGAAACACTGATTCCTTGAACTATGTTAGTAAAGAAGGAACTTGCAACCTTACTTGGCTAGCAATGCTTTTGGGAAACACACAGCTGTAGTTCCAACCACACAAGTCAGCAATGCTGTTTGCAAATATTCTTTGAAAATATGGTTTCGGGAAATGCAAAATCGTTGAACTATGTTAGTAACATCAGAATTTTGACCATAGTTGGCTAACAATGCTTTTGGGAAACAACACTCCAAGTCGAGAGCTATAGTTCCAAACACACAAGTTTGCAAATGTTTTTGGGAACTATGGTTTCAGGAAGCACTTATTCGTTGAACTATGTTAGTAATGAAGGAACTTGCAACCATAGTTGGCTAACAATGCTTTTGGGAAACACACCCCAAGATGAGAGCTGTAGTTCCAACCACACAAATTTCCGATGCTGTGTGCAAATATTCTTCGATACTATGGTTTTGGGAAATGCAGAATCGTTGAACTATGTTAGTAACATCAGAATTTTGACCACAGTTGGCTAACGATGCTTTCCGGAAACGACACTCCAAGTCAAGAGCTGTAACTCCAACCACACAAATTTGCGATGCTGTTTGCAAATATTCTTTGAAAGTATGGTTTCGGGAACCGCAGAATCATCGAACTTTCAATAACAACAGAATGGCGACAACAGTGGGATAACAATGGATTTGGGAAACACACCCCAAGCTGTTAACAGATTATTGTGGGCGGGCAAAACCAGGCAAAACCTGGTGTGGGCGTGGCTTGTGCCTACCAGTGTGTCTCTGCCACCTGTGGCGAGTCCATAGTAACACTGATAAAACGGCTTATCCTGTGAATGTGCAGTTGCGTCCTAGAGGAGGTGATATCATCACACTGTTAGCAGTCAAACAATGTGTGTGTTTGTGTGTGTGTGTGTGTGTGTGTGTGTGTGTGTGTCAGAACACGATCATTAATTCCAACCAGGCTCAGACAATCGCATCAACAAATCCCATCTCAGTCTAGCGTATTTGACCCTAGTGAAATAACTGCCAGCAGGGAGACTGTTTGTGTGGATTAGAGAGATAAAATTGCACAGCACCAGAAGGAGCTTTTACATTGACACCCACACTGACCATTTATGAAAGATATTTGAACAGTGAGCCATGGCGGAGGGCCGTGCGGTATGAGTAACTGATATTTATAGCGATCCTGCTTGGGGACTGGGGGGTGTTTGTTGAAATAATGTTGTCGTTATCGTTTCTCATGTCTCTGGGACATTAGGATTAGCGGTAGATAGATGAGATGGTCGTTCAGTCGCTCGCTGCAGAGCTCCACTCACGTGTGGAGAAACTCCTGAGTCTCTCACCACAGGCAGAAGATTATGCCGCATAAATAAACACAAACTGACAATTTTTGTGAGGAAATTCAAAACCACTGCCTTGAATTTAAGCTCTCACCATGCAAACACACAGCCGACAGCCAACTTCAGTCAAATACACACATAAATATCCCTCCATCCACTAGGAATGACCACTGTGTTTAGCCTGAGAGTAGTTCACGGTGATCGGATAAAGAATGCTTTTGCTCTCTCTCCCCCTCATTCTCTATCTTTTTCATTCTTTCTTTTTATATCCCTCTTGCTCTCTCGCTAATGGGCTTGCAAAATGGGGTAGAGGCGGCGGAGATGAGCTGCACACCTTTGTGCCTCCTGTTGTTCTAAATACCTCCTTTTAGGTGGAAAACAGCATTTGAATTCAGAACTGCTCACAGCTGAAATGAAATGCTAATCTCACCCCACGTTTTATTCTTTCCTGTTCTCGGCTGCTCTCTGGGCTCACCATATGCTGTAGCTATCTCAGAGTTCCAGGAAAGCATTCCGGTTCCAGAAGGAGAGCAACGCTCAGCCTCAAATCCGAAAATTAGCAATATTTCACATTAAATTGAGTCACGTTAAATTGCATCCAACTATGTATGTAATTACACGTGCTGATGTGTGTGTAATGAAGATTAGATACAGTTTTAACGTTGTGTGCATTAAATGAGAGCTTGTGTGTGTGTGCACTGGTGAGTGTGTGTCTGTGATAATGTTTCTATTACTGGTTTGCTTTCATAAATATTAATGTAAAACATGCTGACCTTAATTTCAATTCTGTCTGCTGGCAAATCTCTCCCCTCTCACCCACTCACTAACTTACTGAGAGGGACAATAGAAGTAGACATTGCCGAACCCTCGTTATGCTGTTTTTTTTTCTCCAGGATGGAAGGATTGTTGAATGAATGGATGAGTAGATGAATAAATAGATGATGTAGGGGAATGGGCATAATAGATTTAGGCAATCAAATCAGTAGAAAGCAGATGATGTTCTCATTTCGTTGAGATCCTAAAGTGTTGCATGAGTGTGAGGGGGGATGGCAAAATTAAGGGGAAAAGTCACGTGAGAGAAGGTGTGTGATTGGGTGATTACCCTGTCAATGCAATAATGGCTGTCTATCATTTTCACAATTGGTCTGCAAATCGAAATGGGTCAAAATGGTGGAAATGAACAAAATAATAACCCTAAACTGGAAATTGTGAGGGAGATATTTTTAGCGAACTAGCAGCTCAGGTAAATTTAAGGTGCACCTATGTGCCAGTTATGTTTGCCTGTTAATAAAAATAAAGTGACTATTAATAATAGGTTAAAAAAAGATTAAAAAAAAAAAAAAAAGATCAGATTTTATAAACACAGTCATGCCAGTAAAGTACTTTAAATTGAATTATACTGATCAAAATAGACTGTTATCATATTGTTTGCTTGATGATAGTTTAAAGTAAATGGGGTCCCATAAGCTTTCAACTAGGAAACCGCATAATTATTAAAAATAACAGGAAGGTGAATTTACTAAAAATCCCAAACACAGCAAAGGGACTATTCCTCTTCATTTCAGAAGACCACCACTTGCTACTGAGTTGTTCCAACTGTATCGTGCGCTGGAGTTGATCTAAAGAAACTTCTAAGGCATGCTGGGAATCTTCACAGGATCTAACCATGGGGTGGAACAGACTTTCCACTTCCACAACTAATTGCTGAGAGTGTTTGTCTACTCTCAAATGAAAGTTTTCTCGCTCCGTTCGCAGCCATACAAAGTGTTCTTCATCTGAACGCTCTTGTGAACAGACTAACAGTCTGTTTGTTTGTTTGTTTGTTTGTTGTATATCCGGAATAAAAATTTACCCCCAACCTCTTGACTGCATCCCATAAGCATCCCAAGAGGAAGAATACCATAGAACTGTACCTTCCTCTCTGCATGTATATATGTGTGAGTGTGCGCGTGTGTGTTCAGGTTTCTAAATGATATCTTCTGCATGCTCAGATGCTCCTGAGCGGGTGGCGACACCCCCAGAGGAAGCTGATTGACAGCTTGGCAGTGATAGCAGGAGTGATTCAGGGAGCAGAGAAAGTGAGGGGGAGCAAATGGAAAGAGAGAAAGAATAAAATGATTCGTATAGGCGAAAACTGTGTGGATTCATACCTTACGATTGGACCTGAGTCTGAAGGTTTTGGAAAGAGTGAAGTCGTTTGTGATTCTATCGTTGAATCTACAAACTCAATCAACAAAACATGATTTGCATGGTGCATAGTGCACTAATTTATTCCTTTTTTCCTTTGTGTTTTAGGAACCACACAGTTGAAATTACATTTTAAAGATTTTAAAGTAAATTAAATTATGATGTAAATGAGGTATTTTATGCATCCTGGTGTATAGAAAACATCCCTAAAATGTTTTGATCCTGTGTTTTGGAAGGTTCTATGTAGATCTTTGACTGCATATGGAAACTTCTAGAGGTTCCAAATTTTATGCGAGTTATAGAACCCTTTTAAATTTGATAGAACTGTTTCTTCTAAGAGTGTTTAATATGGTGATTCGATGTAAAGAGTGTGCTGGATTTTACATTCTCATTTACATTCTGCTGTTGGCAGGGGTGTGAAGTAACGAGTTACAAATACTCACGTTACAGTAATTAAGTAGTTTTTATCAGTAATTGTACTTTTTTGAGTAGTTTAAAAATTGTGTACTTTTACTTTTACTTGAGTACATTTTAAGTGATGTATCATACTTTTACTCCGCTATTTTCCTCCGTTTGTGGTCGTTACATGCTTATTTTAATTTTATTTTTAGAATAAAATGATGTTTTTGTGTTGTCCTCACATTTGTTTGAACAATGGTTTGATAAAAGTCAAATAGTAATTTACACTCTTAAAGATTCAATAATATCCTTTTGATGAGAAATTGTAGTATTTGTTAAGCTCATTGAGATGCAGTGGATTAATTGCCCTGGATTTGTATTGTAAGTGCTACTAAACAGCGGTGTGTGCAGAATAAGCCTGTAAACGCAGAAGCCATTAACACATTGAAACAAACAAAACAAAACACAATCTGTTGTTCAACTAATGGAGTTTTCAGAGAGGAGTAAGGAGAGCTGTTTTACTCTGATAAATGGCTCATGTGCAACGCTATACATCAACCCTAATTCTATAGAAGAAAATGTAGGCTAAATTAATTAACATTCAGTGAGGATTTACTTTGTAAACTGATGAAATTAACCTGCCGCAATTACAAAAAGTAACTTGTGCTTCATTTGCCATGTGAATTCAGCTCAGTTAAATGCAAAAAAAACAAGAACTGGATCAATATTTTTGACTTTGAGAGAGTCAGTTAAGATTTCAAGTTTTACTTTTACCAGTTTTATCCAGTTTTGGATATGAGGAAAGATAGAGGCAGGATTCAAGAGCATTCCAAACACTGTGATGTGAGTCAGTGGGTGGAAATAATGAATGCAACTCAACTCTGTCTTCACACAACTAAAGTTTTCTATTGAAAGATAAAGTCTTAAAAAAGAGTGGTGCATCTTTCTGAACCCCTGTGTTTCACAATACTTCAAGTTCTCACTGTAACTTTGACTGTAATTTATGTGAAACTCTGAAACACATGACAAACATGTTTCATCTTTGTTATGCTGTTCTTATTGCCTCTTTTAGGTGCCAAAGAGGTGAATGCCAGCGGCAAGACCTTCACAGTGAAGAGTTCCCTGCAGCTCCAGGTGAACCGGCATGATGACGGTATGGCCTACACTTGTAGAGTGGACCACGTGGCCCTAACTGCCACCCATGAAGAGATAACACAGGTTTTAGAAGTCCACTGTGAGTACGACTCAAACCAACATCCCACAATGGTGAAAACTATACTGCTTACTATAAACCTAAATCTACAAATGTGAAACAGCTTGAAGTATTTTACTAAGTAATGAGTTGAACTGTTTTTTAAGAAACTGATCAAAATGAAGCTAAAAGCTAGACTTAATTTTTGGTTTCATTGGGTTTTCAATTACTTATTAAAGTTACTATGAAAAGTAATTTTGGCAACTTTTAATTCTGAAATATGGTGTTGTAATGCAAAGGTTATGCAATAATTACAGACAAAAATAATTTACGCGTTATAGTTTCTCTTTGAAGTGTTGACATTTAATCAATCTACTGAGATGCAGTGGAGTATTTGGGCCTGATCAACACATCACATCATTTACCTTTTGATCGCCATCGAGTGTCATTCCTCCGCTTGGATGCTGCTGTCTGAAACAATAGTTCTTTGTTCGTCTCTCTGTCTCTGTCATAGATGCTCCCTATGTAGAGATCAAACACTCCATACCAGCCCCACTGGAGGGGCAGTACCTCAAACTGGAATGTGTACCTCATGGAAACCCCTCGTAAGCATCAGCATTTATCAGCATCTCGCTGAATTATAATGTTTGCAAAGAGCTTTGGAAAGTTGCACCAAGGAGAAATTGCCCTGTGGGCAGGCCTGCGGCTAGCGGCTTATAACCACATGCTTGCATTAATGTGATGACTCATAAACGTGATTCTGTTGAAATTAAACAGCTATGAATATATAACTATAAATTCACGGAAAACAACATTAAGAAGCTCTTAGCCGTTGGTACAACTATAGCTAAAATAATGCCAGTGTTTTCTAATATTGCCAAAGAAAAAGGCTGAGAAATCTTTGATAAACTTGGATAATCAAAATTGCTTAGTTTTAAGCCAAAATTAAAAACTTTAAAACTCTTTCAGTGAATTTAGCATTTTCAAAGCCTTTGCTGTAACTTTGTGGTGTTGTCTTTCCATTGATTTAAGAATTAAAGGGGTCATATCATAAGGAATCCAATTTTCCTTGATCTTTTGAGATTAAGGAAAGGCAATCTTTAGTGAAAAGTCTCCATTGTACTAGGAAAACACACCCCTTCAGAACTTTTCACTGTAAAAGTTTGTGGCCAGTTAAGCTGCAAAAATGGCTTACTCTGTATTTCCATAATATTCCAATATGTTAATACATCTGAATTCATGCAAACATATTATCACTCATATCCATGTCAACAATGCCTGTTCAGGGCACAGATACTCAGTCTACCCAGTCACAGTGATGTAATAATGATGAAGCAAAACCGAGGTTGCCAAACCTTGTGTTGTTACAGGCTGTTTGTAGTACCTACAGCTCTGCACATCCTTGTGCCAAATGCGCCAAAGATTGTTACTGAAGAACGGAATATTTAAAAACGAAATAATGATAATAAAAATAAATAAATACAATCTAATTATTTTAAAAAGTATGTGATATGACCTTTTTAGGCGAGTGTCCCATCATTGAAAAGAAACTGAATTATGTTTTTAATTAGAAGCTAAAAATCAATTTTTCATCAGGCCAGACCCAGTACTCTGGACTAAAGACGGAGGAGAGCTGCCAGACCTGGAGCGTGTGATTGTTGAAGGAAGAGAGCTCACCTTCATGGCACTGAACAAAACAGACAACGGCACCTACCGCTGTGAAGCTACCAATCACCTTGGCACCAGCCATGCTGAATATAAGCTGGTTGTTAAAGGTGAGTGACAGACAGATAACATTAACATGTCTCTTAAAGCTAACACAGTTCTTGCTGCTCTCTTGGAAAGCATCTGCATCACTAATTAAACTTAGGTTTCAACCCTGCTTATAACCGTCATGTTATTTTAAAGCCTTTGAAAGATGAAATGCCTTGAAAGGATTGCTGGCCTGAAGAATCCAAAAGATCTAGTTTAAACGATTAATTCAGCCAAAAAGGGAAATTATGTCATCCTTTACTCACCCTCATGTTTTTACAAACTTGTATAACTTCATTTATTTTGTAAAGCACAAAAGAAAATATTTTCAGCAATGTCAGCTGTTTTTGTCTGTTTTCTGAAAAAAATCTATGAAAACCCAAACTTTCAAGCTTTATTTTGCACAGCATATTTGTTTAAGCCTTTCTATGAGCGAATTGACCAGTGTTTTGGTTTGATTTGAGAGTGAATAAAGTATTACATTTCAATACGTTCATCACACAAAGTAATCATACTGTTTCAGTAGACTTCATACAAGTTATGGATTAATTTAATTTAATTTAATTCAATGTGTACATATGCAGCAACCCACTTTTCTGTCCTTCTCCGACTTGGTTTAAGAGAATGAGTTTCACCCACTTAGCATAACAGCAAAGCATGATGGGTCTCGATACACCCTGAGGTTCAGAGGCTACACTGCGTCCACATCTGCCATCACTTTCATCAGAGGCAGCTGCGCGGATACGCTCACAGGCTAAGAACGGATATGACTGTGGGCATCGAGCGGAAGAGTCTCTCCAGCCCCCCTGCTTCTTGTGCCTCTGCCTTCTTGACACTAAACCCCTCCAGGCTGGAAAACTTTTCCTCCACCTCTCAGTTCGAGAAGTTTCTTTTCTCTCACTTTCTCCTTCTATCTCGGCTTTTGTATCCTCCCACAGGGCGTCTTAAGAAGATTTAATTAGCCTTTATGGTGCAGTGTAGGGGTCCAGCCAGTGGCTCATTGAAATGTCAGGACACTATAACAACAAGGAGAACCAAAGCTCTTAATGATGTTGATACTATAAAACTGACACCTTCTCTGTAGGAATAAAAAGCTAATTGGGTGTCACAAATATAAAGCACCATGTCTGAATTCATTACTGTCTTTTTAAATGGCAAAACATAATGCTGTCCTTCCAACAGTGATTAGCGCAAAACCTGGAGCAATATAATGGTCACTGTCCTTCATCAGATCACCTTGTATTGTTCCAATTGAAAACGCAATATTATCTGTTCAATATGCAGCCGATTGCTTTATATTCTAGGCAGAGGGCTGCCATGTCAGTGGGGTACTTGAGTGAGAAGTATAGTCAATATTATTATTCAAATCTCACCCTTAATTAAAATTGGGCCATGACATTTAAATAAGATATTAGAGCAGGCCAATAGTATCTAGACTGTTTGAACAGGTTTGAACACTTGAATAAATCTCTGAATCCCCCAACTCAAATCAAAGCCAAAATCTCATGATCTGGTCTAGTTCTAGTTCCATAAGCTGCACTTTAAAATGAGAGCAATTTCTGTTAAATAGCGGGGGGGGGGGG